GGGGGCGGAGACACTGCCATGGGAAGCCTGGCCTCAGCCCTGCGGTTTTCAGAATGCTGGCTTCTCTCGGTGGCCGTCATACCCGCGACTGGCCCCTTTTCTATGGGTTGACTTTGCTTTCTGTGGGTTACCAGGAAGCAGCTGGGGTGAGTGGTTGGCATTTAGCGGGCCATCTTTTGCCCGAAGCCCCACCGAGTTCTTCATTTCGGTAACAGTGTTTTCCATGTCGACGCTGTGGATGCTTGCTAGGCCTCTCTGGTGTAAGTGCTTCCCTTCTCCTTGTAGTCTCTCCCCCATGGCTTTCAGTGCTCAGAAGCACAGGCTACAACGGTGGGTGCTCCCCATGTGTCTGTGAGTCAAGTTCTTGGGGAGTTGGTCTCTCTTTGCTGACTTGTCACTCATGGGATATGGCCTTGAGTGCTTTTAATTTTTTTCTTGACTGCTCACCTAAGTGGCGCTCCTTTTTCCTGTGAAATCTGGTCTCTGAGGTGCGGGTGGGTGCCATGTGAGCTCTGGGTGAGCTGCTGCCACTCTGTGATGGCTCGGCTTGGAGTTCCCCCACCTGCAGTGCACTCAGGATAAAGCTGGACTCGGCGTGCTCAAACCTAGGGCTTTCCTTCTCACAGGACACGTGTCCCCCCCTCTCCTTACTCGTGTGGGGAGCTGCCCTGTCTCCCAGACTGGTTAGCCAGGTTTCTTTTCCTGTTTTCCATAGGGCTTTTTAGCACTGTGTCCGACCTGCTTTGGTCATATTTCTCTACTGTGTTGTAACCCCAAGTCCTCAGTTGTCCCTCCTCCCTCTCACGGTGTCTCCCAGCTTCCCAGCACGCCGTCAACCTCACCATCTGCTGGCCTGCCACTCCCTCTCCTCGCAGCAGTAGGAGCTCAGAAACTCACTGAAGCGTCTTTTCCCCTGTTGTTATTATATCCAGCGTCTTCAGGTGACTGAAGCAAGAGGGTTTCCGTGCTCCCTGTCTTTCTGTCACCATCCGCCCATGCTTACTCCTTGATAGGTGTCTGCAGGAGGAGAGAGCCTGCGGTCGGTGGAACTGATGCCCTTGTGTTTTGAAACAGGTAGAAAACACAATCCGATGGAGGATACGCCGGGATGAGGAAGGAAACGAGATTAAAGAAAGCAATGCTCGGATCGTCAAGTGGTCAGATGGAAGGTGAGCGCGCTCAGGCTTCTGAATGAGGAGCACCACAGACCCAGGGAGCAGGTTCTGTCGTAGGACCTTAGTTTCAGAAGAAGTGAAACAACGCTGCGTAGAACGCCGCCGCGGAGAAAGAATTAAGTCTTGGGGTCCTGCAGGCTTGTGGGAGACATTAAAAATGGCCTGAAATGTGATCTTCCTCACTGGCGCCAGCTGCTCAGTTTGGCAGTTTAATGATTAGTTCCCACCATTGCACACTGCTCACTCTGAGTTGACATTTTGAAAAACCTCTTTCACGGGGAAGATAAGGGCTGCGTAAATCATGCCACACGGTGTCCTACGGAGCCAGCTCTTCACCCCATTCTGCCCTGCCGAATGCTGGGTAAGGGGAGCAGAGCAGGCCAGTCACCTTGTAAGTGAAATGAGAACAGTAGCATGAAAGCTTTCTGATGTGACTTTCACCTGTGACACGTTTCTTGTCTCCAGCATGTCGCTGCATTTAGGCAATGAAGTGTTTGATGTTTACAAAGCTCCCCTGCAAGGCGACCACAATCACCTGTTCATAAGACAAGGCACTGGTCTACAGGGACAGGCCGTCTTTAAGACCAAACTCACCTTCAGGTAACAGACTGCCGGTGGTTGCTTGTTACAGTAAAAGCACTGGAATGTGGATATGCTCGAAACGCCTGCCCTGCCGGCACGGTTGGTTCTCAGTTCTGAGAGGTCAAAGGCTATTTTGTCCAGAGTGCTAAAAGTCACCGGGTCTCAGGGAACCAACCAAACGGACAAGAGACACTTACATAAACCAGACCATGAATCGATTACTTCCCATGAGGAGGCCTACCGAGAGGACTCGAATGCCTGTCCCTGCTGGTCAGTGTGTCCTTTCTTTGTGGTCACGTGGATCCTGGGGGCAGCGATGACTCGGTACAGGCCTCCGAGGAAAGGGGAGGAGGTGACCGATGGGAAGAAGCTTTGGCTTCTAGCCCCACTGCAGGTATGTGACCCCAAGGTCAACGGAATGCCCGGGCCAGCTGGTGAGGGCGCTCCTCTACACTGTAGGAGCCGCCCAGACCATTCCTGCTTTGCTGTCGCTGCTCCTGAGCAAGGCTTGTCTATAGAATGGCTTCGGACTCTTGTTGAGATAGGCTTTGGAGTCTGATGCACCCACTTCCATTTAGGTGACTGTACCGCTCTCTCAGTCTTTCTTTGCCACAGACACCCAAACCCATTGTCATCGAGTCGATTCCAGCACAGAGCCCCCTCTAGGACAAAGTCAGACTGCCCCATAGTTTCCAGGGCTGTGCATCTTTTTGGAAGCAGACTGCTCCATCGTTTTCCCCAGGAATGACTGCTGGGTTCAAACCTCCGACCTTTCAGTTAGCTGAGTACTTAACCATTGTGCCATCAAGGCTCCTTGTAGCTTCACTGCCCTGTAAAATACAGTCTGTAATAAATACTTCACTGGGGAATAGTGGCAAGGAAATAATGTACAAAGCATAGAGCCTGGCCTGTGGTCAACAAATACTGGGGACCTCTCCAGTCACTGCTTCTAGAAGGTGATCGGGCTGCCCTGCCTCCATTTTCCCTCAGTGAGCCGCTGAAGGAGCTCACCTGGTGCCTGTGCAGTGAAAAGGCAGTGGCCGCTGGCCCTCGCTGTCAGCTGCTCTGACTGGCTGGAGTGTGTGTGGTCCCTGGTGAGACGTTTTTTGTTCATTTCCCAACAGACCTCACTCCACAGACAGTGCCACGCATAGAAAGATGACCCTGTCACTTGCTGACCGGTGTTCCAAAACACAGAAGATTAGAATCTTACCGATGGCTGGTCGGGATCCCGAGTGCCAGCGCACGGAGATGATTAAGGTACGTGTGCTGAGCTTTGTCCTGAGATTGGTGGTATATTAAGAACAGCATTTCCCAAAATATTTGTTCACGTCATCTCTCCCTCTCACTGACATAATCAGGGAGTTGGATTCATTGTCTCAGCCTTTGCCAAACAGTGGGAGGCACGGTGGGGAGGGTAGCGCTGGCACGCGGCCGCCTTCTCCCCCACTGAGCTCCGCATCAGTTGGCGCTTGCAGATGAGGTCATCACCGGTGTTCAGTGTGGACTCGATGGCACACGTTGTGGAACTGCTCATGAGTCCGTTTAAAATAGAATTCGTAGGAGTAAGACCAGAAGTTTGGGAAAGTACCTAACACAGAACCCAACCAAGACTGAGTCTCCATCTGGAAAAACAAAACCCGGTGGCCATCCAGTCGATCCCGACTCGGGGCAGCCTCACCATGAGCCACAGAGTTTTCTATGGCTGTTTTCCACATGTAGATTGCCAGGCCTCTCCTCCCACGTGCCTCTGGGTAGATTCGAACTTCCAACCTTTCAGTTAGGAACCAAGCGAGTTAACTGCTTACACCACACAGACACTCCCAAGGCTAAGTGTAGGTGTGGTTTATGGGTCAGTGTATAACATTCTGTCGGGAAAGTTTTCAAAATTGAAACCATTGCCACTGAGGCAGGAGCTCTCTCTGTGGCACTGCCCCTGCGTGAGGGAGTGTGAGCTGCGTTGACCCTCGGCCAGTGACGCAGCGCTTGCTGTGAGACGCAGAATGCAGGGAGGGGCTCAGTCCAGTCTTCTCGGGTCCCTGCTACATCTCAGCCAGTGCCTTGCCTGCTTCGTGGGTTTACATTTCTCTCTCTCGCTTTTATTTCCCCCAATACTGTGTTTTTGGTAAAAGTGTGCACAGCAAATTCGATTCCCATTCAATAATTTCTGTGTAGCTGCCCCCCATCCTTCTCATCTGTGCTTTCAGGTAAATATGGGTGGTTTGCTGTCCGGTGTCGCTAGGTAGCTGTTGATTTCTCTCGAAGGAGCTCAGTCCTCACAGGTGCCCTTGTTTATTGAATGAGCCAGTCTTCTGCTGGATGACAGGTGACCTCTCGGAGTGGTTTCAGCTCGGTTTACATTCCTTAGTGCAACTGAGTGAGGCTAGGAGAGTACAGTTGCCTCCGGGTCTTTCTTGCGCACTCCTAGGAAGGCCTTTTCCAGGGCCCGTCTCTCTCCTCATTCCACCCTGCACTGGTGGCCCCGCTCTGGAGACTGACTTTGTAGGGAAGTCGGAGGGACCTGCAGATCCAGTCTCCCCATTGTTGGAAGACTCCCTTAGACCATCTTGATAGTGCCCCCCTTGACCCCCCTCCCGTCCCCTCCCCGTTTGCTGCTTCCCCACCTTCTGTGGAAAAGCAGACAAGGATCCACTACTGTGCTGGCCAGTCTCCACCGCACTGGCAGTCATTTCTATTCCGTGCTCAGCACGGCCTCCGTCTGCCCGAGAGAACCAGTCCGCTGCGGAGAAATGGAGTTGTGTGCCTCAGTGCAGGGCAAATGAAGGGCCGTCTTCTTATCAGAAGTCCAGGACACTCCAGATCCCCTCTATCCTGTCCCTGCCTCACGAGTGCCAAGCAGCTGTGAGGGGATTGGGGCTCACTGTCTTCTGTGGTCAGGAGCCCGGGGGCCCTGGGCAGGAGTATCGGGGAACTGTGGTAGTTTGGTGGAGCCTGGGGATCAGGGGTGACCAGAAACGATGGTCCAGAAAGTGAGTTCAGGCTCCTGCTGGGCCTGGGGAAGGTGTCTCCGGGTGGTGGTTTGTGTCTGGGCTCTGTCAGCAGAGAAGAGACTGCGGCTCCCAAGGACCTGCCTGGGCCCGTTTGGGTTGGGCTGGTGGCGTGTGTGAGGCCACAAGATGTAAGGGCGCGCGACCCAGCAGTCCCTGTGGTGACAGAAGTGGGCTGTGGGGACAACGGTTCTCGGAAGACATTCAGAATGGAAAAGTCGGTTCCAGGGGACCCATGTGTGGGTTTAAAGTTCCTTCCTTTATCTCTTTCTTCACAGAAAGAAGAGGAGCGTTTGAGGGCTTCGATCCGTCGGGAATCTCAGCAGCGCCGCATGCGGGAGAAGCAGCACCAGCGGGGGCTGAGCGCCAGTTACCTAGAGCCCGACCGCTACGACGAGGACGAGGAAGGCGAGGAGTCCATCAGCCTGGCCGCCATTAAAAACCGGTACAAAGGCGGCATTCGAGGTGAGTTGGGGCAGAAGTGGGTTGCGGGCCTGGAGAGTTATCTTGGCTGTGGGTGGCCACTGGATAGCTCTCCGTGGTTGTATTTGCTCAAGTGTCGATACCTATCATGGTGAACGCATATGCAGTACGGAGCTAACTGGCAGGCGACCATTCGGACGTCACATGCTCCCGGTGTGGTTTTCATGCCACGTGGTGGCCCAAACCTGTTCCTGTTGCTATGGAGTCAGTCCTGACTCACAGCAGGACAGCAGGACTCCACAGAGGGTTTCACAGGCTGCTGCCACCGCGCCTTCCCTGCCGGCAGCTGGTGGAGCCAAACCGCAGCCGAGCGCTTAACCACAGGGCCACCAGGGCTCAGAGTCTGGCCCAGGAGCTATTATTGTCCTTGTTCTTACAAAGGAAACGGGTCACTTGCAAAAAACCACAACCTTCAAAAAATTGTGGGAAAATGGAATTAAACAATAACTGGGACTTTTCCATGAAAATTTTGAATTCCCCTCATAATTGGTAAGTGCGGAGAGGAGAGCAGTCCTCGTTCCAGGATCATCTGGCTCTTGAGATGATCACAGAGTTGCCCCCACCCAGCCGCAGCCAGCAGCAAGATGCCACCCAGACCAGAAGGAAGCAGACTTGGGCGATGCCTGACCCTGCCTGCTCTAACCTCGGCTCGGCCACTCGCAGCAAGTTACATCGCCTCCCGAACTTGTCAACTCGTGGGGCAAACGAATCAACCTTTTCCTAACAGTAATGACAAGGAAGGCTGTGAGGACCGAACGCTGTGCTGCACGTAGCGTCCTTGGCCCTGAGCCTGGCACACAGCCAGGACGAAGTCGGGCTGCGGAAAGCCATGTGTCCCTTCTCCCTGCTCCTCCGCTGTGGACCAGTGAGTGTACCTCTCTGGCTCCCCCGGGCCTCGTCTATGAAAAGAAGGGCGAAGCCTCGACCTCCGGTCCTTTGAGAGTCACTGTGAGGCGCACCTCGGGGACTGTGCAGGGTGGCCTTTGCGTTAAGCGGTTTAAAGTATCAGACCACCCAAATTTCCCTTTCTCTGACCGTCCTCCAAAACTCTCCTCCTCCACTTGCCCAGACTGCATTTGCTTAGAGAGCTGTTACACTCAATCTACCGGTTCCTTCTTTGGGGCTGTGTGTCACAAACAGGTTAAGTGCTAAACCCACCCATGGGTGCCTCAGAAGAGAGGCCTGGCAATTTGCTTCCAGAAGGCCATGACCTTGAACCCTGAGGGAGCAGTTCTACTCTGTACACCGGGCTCACCACGAGCCGGAATCCACGCGACGGGACCATCGGAGAGGGAGCTTTTCCCCTTTGTCAAGGCTGCTTCGGGGAAAAAACGATTAATTGTGGAAGTAGACCTCACGGGAAAGACATGAAGCCCCCCCAAATTATGTTCTTTGAGAGTGCAGTATGTGTTAGTTCATCAGAGGATAAAAGCCAAAGGTCAGTTCTTTGGCAGCATTCAGGTCTGTGTCCTGGTCAAATAAGCCCAGGTTGTGGGGAAAGGAAGGTTGCAGGTTAGGGTGTGGCTTGGTCCACCCAGAGGCTCATCTGAGCTTCGTGTCAGGGTAGGTTGCATTTAGCTACACTGACTTCTGAAATGCCCACCTGGCAACAAATGGACCCCAAAACCACCCTTTGCTTTTAACTTCCATGTTTATGTTGGAATGAACTGTCTTCCTTCTGAAAGACTGACTCCAGCTGATTGCCTGCTTTGGAAGCGTAGTGATGCTTGTCTTTTTTTGACTCTTGAAAGCGCTCAGATGAACTGTTTTTGTACATTGAGAAGACGAGGCTGCTTTGTTTCGACATGACAGCAGTGAGGGTTTTTTTAAAATATATTTATCTTTACAAAAAAAATTTTTTTTAAAGTTTCTTCTTGGGAAAATTTACAAAGGGAACAAAAACCGTTTCCTTAGCGTGACCTTGCAGTAAAGAGTCCCGTGTTAGAAAGCCCAGCACAGTCTCTTCGCTTCCCTTTCAGAGGAACGAGCCAGGATCTATTCTTCGGACAGTGACGACGGATCAGATGAAGATAAGGCTCAGAGGTTACTCAAGGCCAAGAAGCTCAACAGTGATGAGGTAAAATCACATCTCTCCCATCCTAGGGTACCGTCTGCTCAGTTGGTATCACCAACTCATGAATGAAGGGGAGCTCATCAACTGGCAGGCATTAGCTGTCTGCCCAATTAGGAAGTACAGTGAGATACATGCAGAATCGGGATGTAGAGAGGGTCGTAGGAGGGCCTGGTTCATGGCCCTCAGTGCCCAGAGGTGGTCTTTTCTCTGGGTCTTCGAAGAATGAGTAGAAGCCTGCAGGGTGCACAGGTCATAGTGGGGTACTACAGGTAGATGGACAGGCTCATGGCCTTCGTAGCTCATCTAGAGAACTAGAAATTGTGTAATCTTTAACCGTGCCCTTTGACATAAATTGCTCTGCAGGCTAAGCCCATTAAGTTCAAGTAGGAGTTGTCAGGCCAGTCTTTTGACTCCAGGAATGCTTTTTAGCGCTGCCTTCTCTCGATTCTCTTTGGTGAGCCATCTGGTCAGGTTTAACTTATGTTTGAATGTACTTTAGACTTAAACTTCCCCACACTGTTTCAAATAAAGTCAGTTATTTTTGGAAGACTTTTGGAGCTCTTTTCCTTACGGACTGCCTCCCCACTCTATGGGCGAAGCCTCTGAGCCACTGCTGTAGGTGCCAAGTGGGGCAGGTGCCTCTGCTCATCTTTGTTTGCCTTTGCCCTGGCGAGTCATCAGGGGCCCAGGATTCGTGATGCCGCACCTGGGTAGAATCTCTGTTCTGCAGTTTGGGAATGGGTGAAGGAAGGGGGGCGCCCAGTTTCTTAGAGCCCTCACCGGGAATTTGGCCTCTTCAACTTGAAGCTAGCTTGTCTCCCACTGAGGTTTTGAATCCCTAGATTAGGAGTGGAGGGGAGAGCCCTGTTTGCTGGGCACAGACGCTGGGTGGAGAACTGTCAAACTGAGCCAGCAGCTCACGTGCCAGTCTCCCTGTGCTCAGTTTTAGTAGCTTTTCTCCACCGTGTCCTCATTTGCTGAATGCCCTCACGACGGCTTCCAGACAAGGCCAATGCTTTGTGGTTTTGCTTTTTCAATTTTGCCATGCTTAGTTTTCCCTTTGCGGAGTGCACTCATGAAACCTCTAACTGCCATCCTGGAGTGGGAACACCTTTGGAATTTAACTGGGCTCGCCAATTTGGGATTTTGTTGTTGTTCCGAATGGAATTCATTGGTTACACCTTTATTCGCCTTCTAGTTTATGCCTCCTTTCTTCAGCTGTGTCCGATTTCTTCACTGAGCTCTTAAGAATTACACTTTTTATTTTTAGAGATCCTTTCCTTAATTCAAACTTCCCCTTTTTTGAAAGCATACCTTTTTTATTAAAAGATCATTTTATTGGGGGCTTTTATAACTCTACATCAGTTTTATCGGGTATGTTTGTACACATATTGCTATTATTCTTTTCTAGACCTTCACTTTA